GAAATAATACAATATGCCAAGCTAAACTAATTCAACAGGATGTTATTTTAACATAATCATGCAACACATTATAACATTGAGAACTAAAAGTAAGTTTTATAAAATTTGTCTTTTTCACGAATTCCGTCTTTATCGTCGCTCATCTGCATTTGTGTGGTGTTTGGAATATAGCAGGTCGAGATACATGGCTAAATGGAAAAAAGAGGATATTAGCCTTTATCTAAAGATTAATCTCTTAGATTTTCACACTTATTACATTAACAGATCTTGACTGATACATATTTATTTTATATTGTTATGACATAAATCATATAGTGGGCTACAAATAATGTTGTATTTCATGATTTTGAACATGTTCACGCCTACCCCGTTAAAATTGGCCAAGTACTTACGAAGATATGATATTAATTGTTTTGGTAAGGTTTTGGTCAGATATTCAATATAATACCTTACAACCCCTCTGCCGATAGCCATTCAAGTAAGGCATTACTTATCAGCTAGAGAATGGTACAATGGAATAGAAACGCATTTGCCACTAAATTTTAAAATTTTCAACGCGAATCAATGTTATGTGCTACTAACTTACCTATTCTGAGATTATTGTCCCCACCTCCTCACACTATCGTTTGAACAATTCTGGATCTGCTCTGCTTTTATTATTATTACTATTCTTATTGTGCCTAATCTGGCCTAGGTATGATGTTATGCCTACCTAGCCTTTTAGATGATCATGCCCAAATGTTATTCTAATTTTCCATTTTTAGGTAGTAATATGACTTTAGGCCTATATTTTTCGAGTTACGTCCTCATGTTGCTACTTTCATCCCTCAATATCCCTACTGTATAAGCATAGTGTTATATGAATGTTAGATCTAGTAACTGCATCATGAAACATATTATAATGGCAACAGGTATAGTAAACAAGAGAAACGTTTAATTAATTTTTTTTTCTATAGTCTTCTGTGTACCTACAGTACCTATGCTGACTTTTTTTTTTTTTGTGCATATTAGGATTGTATATGTTATTGTCATTTTCTTTTTATGTACCTATAATATGCTCATCTGCGAAAGGTAGAACCCCCAAGAACAAGAAATCAATTTAATACGGAATTTGGTATAGATGATGACTTGTGGCCAAGTATTTACGCTTTGTCCTTTCAGTGCACACGAGTAGTTAGATTACATGTGTTTCAATATAAAATCTAAACAAATTGTTTAATGACTAATTATAAGTTATTTAAAATTAATATTATTGAGTCGAATCTTTGTTCCTATTGCAAAATGGAAATTGAAACTATGAAACATTTATTATGGGAATGTAATCTTATAAATTATATGTGGGATACTTTTAAATTCTGGTGGGAAGCTTTAACAGGAACCAATATTACCTTTAATTTTAAAACCATCATACTGGAACATAATGTTAAAAACCCGGATATACTACTGAATCTATGCATTTTAATTATTAAATTTCATTAATTTTTGCCTGTAGAAAAAGACTACTCATTAAATTTTGGTTTATTCCTTAGAACTCTCCAATTTCATTTTATTATGGAACAACAGTGCATTTGAAACAGAGAACTCTCACGCACCCCTACCGCCAATCCTGCATTCGCCACAGTGAGGCTCTTTTATTTTATAATATTATAGTCAAAATTAGATGGGCATTAAACAAAGGGTACAGAGAACAGAATGGTCTTTTATGAGCACACATATATGCAAGTATTATACGCAAGATTAGAGCCTTCATTCAGTCTGTTACCGGTATATCAACATCCAGTTTTATTTTATCGTGAACAAATATTTCAATGTAAACATAAAAGAAGGTGATATTTACTTTATGCAACTTGTTTATTACGAACGCACAGTGGCCGCGCCAGCGTCTGAAATCTGGGGGAAGGGAAAGTGAGGGGAAAGAAATTACCGGGGAGAGGGGGTAGAACCAATGCCCCTGTGTATAATTAGGTTTCTTAGCTTACATAGTGGAATTTCAATAAAACCTTAATTGAACAATATGCTCATTTAGTATTGTATTTGCAGGCTCGCAGTAAATGCATCACTTCACCATGCACCTATTAATAATAGGTAAATGACTTCACAGTATCAAAGCAATCACCTGTTTAATTTTGCTTTGATTCAAATACACGCTCGCCTATGCTCTGGGTGGAGCAAGTCTTCCCGGATAAGGACTATAAACCATAGGCCCAGTGTACACAATTGACATGTGCACATAAAGTATACGAACCCTTTTTGATGGTCAGATTCCTCAAGTCTGCCCGTATAAAAATGAGCGTTGGAAAAGTATACGTTGGAAAAGTCACGGCCGAACTATATTTGGCCGAATTTTGTGAAAAGTTTACATTTTTTTTATATAGGCCTAATATGAAGTACTGTAGACTTGTTTTGGATATGTTGTTTTGTACAAAAGCTTTGATTCTAATTGTATACCTTTACGTTCGTAGTCGTACTCTGGTTCGAACTAGCACTGAACACTTAATGTACAGTATGTCCCCATTTGTCAGAGTTGACGTAAGAGAGTTTATTTAAAAGATTAGTAGTTACATTTAATATTTAAAATGTTCCGATGAAATTTATATTTTTTTTTATGAAGTTCATCCTCGTTGAAAACTTTATGAAGACATTTTATTGTTTTATAGTAATGTGTTCTTTAATGTTCGAACCTACTGTAGTGGAGGTGTCTATCTCTTTTAGTTGAGAATTGAATGAAACAAATAATAACATTCGAATTTACAAAGTTTAGATAAAAAGTATTTATTAAGTTTTATTTATTAAGGTTTGTCTTAACCAGGGGTGGCTCCAGGATTTCCCGACGGGGAAGGGGGGTAGGGGTGGGGTCCGAGGTCCCCGACGGGTAAGCGATGCCCCCGACGAGGAGGAAATTTCCCAGACGAGAGCAAATTGGGCTTGGTAGAGTGTCGCTTAAAATGTTGCGAAAGTAGTCCAGGGGCAAAGCCATTGGAAATTTTGACAAGTTAGAGGATTGTAGAGTCCATGTGCAAAAGAAACCTAATTTTTGTTTCTCCTCCCCGACGAATTGTGGTTTTTCTCCCCGAATGGGGGGAAGGGGCAGCTCTCTCCGACAGGGACCCTGCCCCATCCCCCGCTGGCGCCACTCCTGGTCTTAACACCGGTTTGTGTTACCATACTACTACTAATGCAACTTTCAATCTAATTAAAGAGACCCACGGATTTGTCATTGAAGATTCCATAACAGGCCCTTATTATTGCTATAGATCCACTACGTTATTTAAATCAAATTTACATCGATCTTAATAATGTGACTTTAAATAGGTCTACATGCTAGAAACTAATTATAGAACATATTTGATATTATGATGTAGCTGGGCATTTAATTATGGTGATTAATTATAACAACAAAAACAGTGAAAAATTTTAATCTTTCACTGTTCACAGAACAATGTTAAAACATTGTTCTGTGTATATCATTTTTAAATGATAATTAAAATTTCTTCAATTTCAAACAAATGACAGTTGATTTTCGTGTAATTTTGGAAATTTAAATGAATATTATGTACCCAATGTTGTCTTCGAATCCGATTAAAATCTGGCCGAATTTTGGCAGATATCGAAAAAATGTTTGGCCAAATTTGGTCGTGAGATGGCGTGTGTTTGGCAGTGAAGCCTGTGGAATATCTGGCAACCCTGGTTTGCACATCTCAACAAGTTTTAAAAAAGTACTATTTTTGAGGAGAATAGTACTTTTTGAGGGGAATAGTACTTTCTATTGCCCCGCTTCTTAAACAATGATACCTAGAATCTATGTATGAGGTATTAGGCCTATAATATTTTGTATTTTCAGACTAACAGCAAATGTATTAAACTCAAGAATCTATACTATCATTCGCTTGTTTTATTATTTCATTGATTCAAATACAAGGCCCACACAAAAACTGAACCCGTAAAACACGAATCCGTATGAGCTTGAATAGGCCTATCATGCTAGACGGTAGGTGATGCGACGGTTTTAAACATAGATTTAAAAATGGCCTTTGTTGTATTGTTGAGTATTTTCCTTTTTTATGCACTAACACATTATTGGTAAGAAAAAAAAAATTCCTACCGACCTACGCGTTTTTTTTTTTTTTGTTTTTTTTTGGGGCGGAGTGGGGGGGGGGGGTGATGAGGTTTGATCGCAACGTGGCCAACACAAGATATTTTTTTTTTCTTTTTTTATATGTTTTATTTATTTATTTAAATTTTAAACATTAGCTTATTTATAACAAAATAGATCAATTCAACATTTTTAATAGTCTTTTTTATCATTGTTAATTTAATTGCAATTTTATTAACTGTAACAGACGTGACATGGGTGTAACAGACGTGATAGTTACACTGCTACATGGTTAAAAGTTCCCCAAAAAAAATTACAAAATCTAATAACAAGAATCTCAGAACAATCTATTGTGGTTAAAACGAACACACAGTCAAAATTATACCAATGTCTTTATTCGTTCACAAGATGGGGACGCCAACAAAAGTGGGCGTGTCTCTAGTATACAAACATAAATTTGAGTATGTACTAATTTTAGAAGCTTATAAATTTAGAATGATGAATGCTATATTCTTGAAAATTGGTATTCCATGACTTATTTGAGCATATATTCAGAATATATATCAAAATAAAGAGAATTACCAGTTACACAAAAGTTATTGGCACAATAATTACAGTCATCGTTAAACAAATATTGGTTTATACTGGTTTTTTTTATATCAATTGTATCAACATGAGTAGTCCCATGAATTCCAATCATAGATGTACCATCTACAGTATAGTTATTTGTCTATAATAAATTTAACTTGATCTAATGAGATCAAGATCACTATAAGTATTTAAAACTTCAGAATAGTCAGATGGCGCTTGCAAAAATGACCAATGTTGATGACTTCAAATGTTCTAAATATTTTTTATGGTTTAATTATGTTAAAGTAAGGTTATCTTGATAAAAATTAAAGCCATTGTTTACAACATAAGAGAAACTGAACTGAACCATGATTTTATTATATATGAATTACCAAAAATGCTCATTTGGTAGTGCTGATAGTAAAATATGTGTTTAATGATGTCACGTCTGTGACAACATTATTATGTCACGTCTGTGCAAATGTGACGTATGTTATTACACAAAATATGATATAACATTTGGATGATTTTTTTAAAAATTACATTTGATTAAGTATGGAAAGTAATTGTTTTCTGTGAAGTTCTACTATATGATTTTTAAATTGATTATTACTGTGTAGAAAATAATAATTTGGCACAAATTATTGATATCGATCATTAAAATGTAATATTTCAACATTTCTTTGGTGAATATATTTAACAAAATTTGTTTTCAACATTAAAACCATTCTGAACGCACTATCAAACATATTATGCTATATAAGCCGTGCCAGGAGACAAGATAATAGTCATTTGAGTTAAAAGTCACCAACTGAATAGTTGGAGCCTACAATACTTAAGCCTATAACTGTTTGCGGTTTTTCAGGTTATAACCTTTAATATTTCATACCAGTTGAGAGACTCGAGGTCTTCAATTAATGGTTAGTTGTATAGTTCACCTTCTCGAACGCAGTTAGAAACACCTACAATTTGGCATCACATTAAACGTCACAAAAATGGGCAATGTACCATAATTGTTGTTCCTACTATTGTTGCATAGTATTACACTGACTTACCTCATATTTTATATTTAGCGATTCGACAAGCTGACGTACTGTTGACCAGTTTTTAGAAGCGATGGCTTCATGAAGCGTTTTGCTATTTAGATTTTAAAAAAAAAATAATAATTTTAATTTTTACATACTAATTGTATACACTGAAACATATGTAATAGGGAGTCTTCACAAGCTTACGAAAAAGATAACGAATATAGATACGTCATCACATTTTTAGAAAACCCTTCACCTACAGTAGCATATCTGTCAAAACGTAGGCAATGCATGCCTTTAACATGAATCAAGGATCATATTCTGCTTATGCAGCATGTCGTCTCTTGAATAACGTCGTGGCGAATGTGGAAAAATGGTTTTTTTTTGTTTTTTTTTAAATTTGTGAATAATTTAAGTTGTCTTACTGTCTAGAATATCTGGAAAATTGAGTCAATTAGATAAGTAATTAAGGAAGAATATTAATTAAAATATTAGGGTAGGGTTTCCTCCTTAAACAGCTGTGCGTGCGCGCAAAGATAATAGAAGTATAAGATAGAGTTCTCCATGCTACAGAAAAAAGTGTTCCACCGAAATGCATGGTGGGAATACAAACAATGGGGCACCTCTTACGTTCATTAGAACTTGTGAAGTCGGTGTTTCCCAGTTCACAACTTGTGAAACGCGTTCATCTCGTTGGTGAACTGGTAAACACAAGTTGTGAACTCGAGTAGAATTCTCTTCTCGATTTGCACAAGTAGTGTGGAAAATGGCGGATGTAACATAAACTATGCACAACGAGCATTTATTGCAATTTGTTTATTAAGTAATATTATTTCAGATAAAAAAAGAGATTTGTTTGTAGGTTTTATTTGCAACCCAACATATTTATTGGATTTTTTTGTTTAAGTAATATTATTTCAGATTTAAAAAAAAGTTGTTTTGTATGTTTTATTTTCGAACACATTGTAAAAGTGACAGCAGCCATTTTAGCGTTTATCAAATGAATGCACTCTTCTCGTGTTCTCACATGTTACAAGTTGTGAACACCGACTTCACAAGTTCTAATGAACGCAGCATAAAACCTCAAGAGGTCCCACTGCCGCACTGCCGGATGCGATTTTTTTTTCTGTACGAAACATTTACATGAAACTCCACTCGGGCCGTCTCGGCTGAATCGACCCGAAAATCTCATTGCAGAATTCAGGAGGTCAAAAGGTCATCAACAGATAAACGTCTACAAAACAACTTTTGAGAGAACGTCGCTATCTAATTTTTAAAATACATTGATGTCACCATGTTAATACCAATGGGTCGTTTAAAATGACATATAATAATGATTAAGCTGCACGAGTAATGAAAAGTGTTATTTTAACTTGAGTTACATACTATGACAATTTTAATTTTTTAGTTAGGCCTGGGTTTTGCATAATTACCTAGGTCTACTAATACTAAAAATACTTTCTGGGAAAAGCACGAAGAGTAAGGAAAAGCGCGTTTTTTTTTCATCAGATGAAACAGGGTAACAGTTATAAGAGCTGAGAATAGGGAGCTCTAAAATACTGGATGCCATAAGACCTGCCAAAATGGCAGCACCAAATAAATGTAAAAATTGAGCTAGTTATTAATATTAGGCATAGTAATCGGCAGGTTCTTGATTACAAGACTAGACCAAGTTAATTACATGTAATGCCGAAATTATTATTATTATTATTATTATTATTAATTATTATTATTACCTGTACTTAAGGGGAACTTAGACAATGGAGGAATTAGAGAATAATTTTAAAAAACGACGTTAAGGGAAATAACAAAAAAGGTCTCCTTGGGCTAGTTATTATTTATAGGCCTAGTAAATAGTATCTGTAGGTTCTTCATTACAAGCCTTAAGCCAAGGTAATTAATGCTGAAATTATTATTATTATTATTATTATTATTATTAAATTATTATTATTAATTATTATTATTACCTGTACCTTAAAGGGAACTTAGACAATGGAGGAATTAGAGAACAATTAAAAAAACGTTAAGGGGAAGTAACAAAAAAGATGTTCCCCTTGAGCGATTATTATTTTATAGGCCTGTAAATAGTACGGTATCTGTAGGTTCTTCATTACAAGCTTAGGCCAAAGTAATTAATGCTGAAATGATTATTATTATTATTTAACATTAATTACATTAAAATGATAGTTTGAACAGGTTCAATAACGCCGGAATGGTATATTATTTATTTAATAATATTTCTCATATGCGCTCTATTTTTCATTTCATGCTTTAATTTTGTCCTTTTTTTTCCCCCAAAATTTCAGTCAATGTCAGTTTTTTTTTCTCCAAAATTTCAGTCAATGTCAGTATGTTGGTGTCAGCCTATGACCCTAGGACTAGTTTAAGGAGGGGCCTAGGTAAGACCTCAGCCTTAGGCCTCTTTCTCTCTAGCCTTTGGTATTATGTACCTATCTACACTTTATAAGAGGAGGTAGTTATTGTAGATAATATACCAACATTTAATAACATCCAAGAAGGTCACAGCAAGGTCACAGTTAGTTACACACGTACATCCCATAAGTCCGTGAGATTTCATAGGCCTACCGTAGGTAAACATAGAAAGAGCAATAATAGTAAAACTCGAGCGTCACGACATTGCGAAGTGTCTGCTCTTTTTCCTCGTATCGTACTCACTCGAGTCAATCCGAGATGGCCCGAGTGAAGTTTCATGCAAATGTTTCGTACGGAAAAAAAATTGCCTGCCGGATATTCTTTGGAACGCAATCCTATTTCAAAAAGTACTACCCAAAAGGGGCGTGGCCGTAACAGAACGCGTGCTGCATGACGTGCATATTCGAGTTTTTAACTCTATTCGAACTCGAATAGGGCGCCCCCTATTTTGTGGTAGTACGGTACTTTTTTAATGTTCCATTGCCTGCATACAAAATCATGGCAGTGGGACCTCTTGCAGTTTTATACTTTTTGCTTCCAAACTTTGCGTATTTAATTGTCAATTCTCAATTAAAAAATTGTACACCGCGATGCGCTACTATGTAATATACCTAACTCATATACTTTATATATAATATGTGTTCATCGGGAAGATTTGGACACAAAAAAATGAACGGTGTGTACCACGTGACTTTCGCAAACCGAGGAGCGGAAATTTCTTTATATATATGGCTTTGTACTTAGCCAGAGCCAAAGATAGAGAGAGTTGCGACATTGAGAATTCAGAAGCCATTTTTTGTCAAACGCGATGCGCGTTCTGTGTCTATAACGTGATTTGCGTTCCTGTGTATAATATTGTGTAACTACAGTTAGCGGCCTCCTGTATAGTTTAATGCCATTTAATCTTTTTAGCAGTCGAATTCCATGTAACTATATTTATAGATTTCTTTTTAATGATTTCACTACTTTATATCCAATTTCATATTATAAATAGGCCTACTGTAATTATTTACTCTTTTTAAGCAGTTCTTTAATCCTCGCCGATAGACCGAGAGAGCCCCCTCGATGACATGCATTCTTATTAGGCAATCCTGCCATAGACCCTTAATAGCTCCTGTTATTTTTGCAAATAAATGATATGTGGCGACCAGTAAAAATTGATTAAAAATGTATATCAAAATTTAATTAAAATCCGTATATAAGGTATATGCCAGGCTCTTTAGGAGGAAATTTCTTTGTTTTTATACATGTTTTAGAACTAATTTTTTTAAGACACAAAAAAGCATTTTCGACGAAAAAATCGAAAGCGGTTAGTGAGATTCAGGTTTTTTAATATTTAAAAGTTGTAAGGAAAAGGTCCGTACCTCCCTCTTTCCCCCATTTTTAAATAATCAAAAATCTGTATCTTATCAGCCGCTTCCGAGTGCTTGGTCAATTATGCTTTTCGTGTCTTCGAAAAATCATTTCTACAACACTACAAAAATAATTTTCCGCCGAAGCATAGCTTTAAATTTGAATATAATTTTCTTTTTTCTCCATTTCTTTATAATAATAATAATAATAATAATAATAATAATAAGAATAATAATAATAATAATAATAATAATAACAATAATAATAATAATAATAATAATAATAATAATAATAATAATAATAAATAAATAAATAAATAAATACCTGTAAATAAAAACTAGGCTGTGTTCGAGATTTCTTTACGTGACATAGGTACCGGTATAGTGATACCTACTGGCACTGACTTCTGTGAGACAATTGATAATAAAGCAAAACACAGGGGCGGATCTGGGTTAAATTTTAGGTGGGGGTGGGGGTCAGAATGTTTCCAAACCCACAAAATGAAAGGGGGTCCGGGAAAATGTTGATCCCTAGATGGCGGGAAATGAGTTTTCCTGACTTCTGCGGTGTCTATTTTCCTAATACTTTCACTCATTATGATAATTATTATAATAATATTTTAAGCACCAAAAAAAAGTTCGACCGTCAGAACTTCTGCAAATACGAGAAAATGACGTTTAAACTTACGAAATTGAAAGTTCTTTGCGCTAGATTTAGCACACGACATTTTGTAAACGTCACTGTACTCGTTCGAATATTGTATTTTTGATACGTAGTTTATTATTTGCGAACTTCGTATTACTGCTTTAAAAACAAATTTAAAAATTATAATTAGATATAATGTGTATTTTAATTACAGAATAATATTTTTTAGACTACTATTAAATTGATTTTGTTACAATAACTTCACGTGTTGTGCTACAGCCAACAACAGTAAACAACAACATGGCGACTAGCGGCGGACAGTGTGCCGGTGTTGTAATACAAAGTGTTGTTTTCACCGCGAAGAAATTGCTAATGAAACTCCAATTCTAGTTACAGCAACCAGATTCTTGAATATTGTTACTTGTAACAAATTATGGATAGTTTTAGACAGTCATAACCGAACTATAGCTGACAAACTTGTGTCTTAACTAGACTAGGAATGGATGTGCCTCTTGGAATGGATGAGGGAAAGACATACGATTACGAGGATGTTTGCTATCGTCGTTACATCGACACGAAATCGATAGCAATGATAAATTATCATTACCAAGTGTAGTGTAGTCCCGTCAGTACCTTACCCAGACACATTGTACAATGTATTAAAACTATTCCTTAAAA